CAGGCGGCAGGGTCCCACTGGAATAGCAGAAGGGCTCCTTCCGGGCAGAGCACATCTCACCTCTCCATTAAGATGCAGGTGCCTGCCGTGGGGTGGGGAGCCTTGGAGAAGTCTGGAGCCAACACCTGGGATTATGCTATCTGATGGCTCCCACCCCAACAGGTGCGGCCTGGCCCAAGGCGGGAGCTGCCACAGCAGGCAGAAGGCAGCTCCTGGCCCACAGAAGCCTCTGTGTTGGGGGCTATTTTGGTGCAGTCATGTGCCACCGAAGAAATAGGACACATCCTGAGGCACACACTGTCAGATGCTGTCTGCAGATGTTAGGTATGCTCACAAACTTGGACAGAACGGCAGCACTAGATGGCATTCGTGCCCTTACAATACTGTGGAAGGCACGCAGGCCAACGCTGACTGAACCTTTACGACGTGGTGTGCAGCTAGCCTGTGGTGCTGAGGGATATGGTCTCCAGGGGGACTGGGCATAGCTGTGGCTCCCCATTTGAGCCTTCCTCTACCTCTGGCAGCCCAGTGTCTAGGGGCTCAGGAGCCTGTGAACATGCTTTCACTGCCCCGAGCCAAGCAGGCCGGGAACGGAGCCTAATGGGCCCATTATGGGACGTGGTTGCACAGAGCCTGCAGCCCAGATCCTCCAGTCCACAGTTCTGAGCCACCAAACCTTGGGTTCCTTCTGTGGACAATGGAGGCAACACCTACTTTATGGAGCTGCGGCGAGGACTACACAGAGCAGGTAAAGTGCCTGTCAGCACTTGGCATATAGTTGGTATTTAATAAATGCCTCATTATGCTGCCTTTATTTTCCTGGAGCCAAGAGGCAGGCCAGGACTCCAGAGTGTGAAGGCAGGAACCTGAGAGGAAGATGTGAGGTCATTCGGGCACCATGGAACTTGGTTCCACTTTCTTCCTGCTGTATGGCCCTGGGCAGGAACACAGAGGTCTCTGGACCTCCACACCTAAGCCCTGGCTGGAAGACATAAATCTGGGCATAGCTGAGGGCCAGCTCCTACAGCTCAGCTTCCTTCTATGTCCTTCACAGTAACTTGGAAAAGCTATAACTCACGATGCCCCTGGGCTGGTAAGGGGATCTAGGATTCAGTCCTTGTTGGGTGGGCGCTGGGATCTGCTGGAAGATCCTGAGGCCCAACCCTACCCAGCCTCACCCTCTGGAGGCCACACTCGCTCAGCTCTCATCCCTCCCAGGCGTGATGCTACAGGCCTCTGGTATGCGGTTGGAGCCCAGGGGAGGTTCCTCCCAGCCTAAGGGTGGAAGAGGAGTGGGGGAGGGTAGGCAGGGGCAGCCTCAGAGGGGAGCTCATTGCCATTGGACAGCAGTGCAGAGCATATAAGCTCACGGACACACAACCAAAAGAGCATGATGCAGGGGACCCCACTGTTCTCTGTTCCAGATGAGTTTAGGTCCTGCAGGTGACGGCAGGACCAAGGGGACCCTCCAGTCTTCAATGCCTGTACCCACTTCACAGACAGAATGATCGGGGGCTGAGGGAGGAGCCGGGGCTGGTCCAGTCTCATAGGGAGGCAGCACCATGGCCTGCTCCCACACTCCAGGCCCTTCCTAGTCAAACCATTTCGGTCTTCAGGGAAGGGAGGATGCAGCAGAGTAATCCTGACAGGAACATGGCCACTAGAGGTGGCTGAGCTGAGTGTGTGCTGTGTCATTTCCTTGCTCCAGGGTCTGTCAGTTGTGCTGACTACTGGCAGGGTGACTCAATGCCAGCAGCCATGCTGCAGAAGTCCCCATGGAAAAGGGCTAGTCAGCATCCCAACCTCCATCCCAACCCTAGGAGGCTGGGGTTTCCCTAGCACTGGCATAGGGTGAAAAGGGGAGGTGGGCAAGAGGTGACTCATGGCAACAGATAAGATAGAAGCATTCCTAGAGGGAGGAGCACGGAGAGGGCGGGCAAAGCGCTCCATCAGCACCCACTGGCGTCTGGGCCTGCCCCAGGAGGCTGGGAAGCAGCAGTTAGGAGGTAAAGACTCAGGCCACCTAGGTCAGCTGCCTCTCTCAGGTCCTGCTGGCCACTGTTCTACCAGGCCAGGCTAGGTTCTGGAGTACAACAGGACTAAGCGACCTTGGACAGAGATACCCAACCTGTCTGGCCTCAGTTTCTACCGTGTGAAAAAAGAGACAGATAGCAGCACCACCTGAGATTATAAAGTGCTCACGCTCCACTGAAGCTATTATTACAGCCTCCCCATGTATTGTGTGGGCCACAGAGCAGAGGTGGGGGAACAGGGACTTACAGGGGCCCACAAGGGAGAGGCCTGGCTCAAAACTGCACGGCAGGGCTGTGAACAAATTCTTGATCTCTGTAAGATGGGTATGGCCACTGTCAGTTCTCAGGACCCTCAGGGACTCCCTGCTGTGGGGAACAGGCTCCAAATGTAGGAAACTGAGGTCATTACCTCTCCTTGATAGGCAGTAGGAGGTCACCCACTACAGTGCCACAGAGATGGGGCTCACACTATGATCAATGTCCTCCTGGCTGTCACCCTCGACAGGGGTCAATAACCTTGGAGAATTGGGACAGGATGAATATGAAGCTATAGGTCTGTAGGGACGGAGACATCTCTGCTGTGGTCACAAGGATGTGGACAGGAAACCCTAAGGGTACAATTTGGCCCCAGGCACCCCTATCTGCCCCTATCACTGGCTGGCTCTATGTCATTCTGTCTGTAGAAGATTAGAGCCTGTGGCTGTTCCCAGGCCAAGCCGGAAAGTGGCAGCTGCCTCCTACCTGCCGTGAGAGCGCTGGCCCAGTAGGTCGGGCCCCATTCAGGGTCTTTATTCCTCCTTTCAAGGGACTGGACTCTGCCACAAGTGGGCGTCACCCCAAACCCTTTTAGGGGCAACAGATTCCCAACTATTGCCAGGTGTCCAGAGGATTATCCAGTCCTTCCTCATTCCCGCCACCCAATACTCCACCATCACAATGGCCAGAGAGACGGTATGTGCCTACAGAGTAGAAACCCTCAGCTAGTGATGCTATGGACAGACCCTCCAGCTGCTGGAAACCAGCCAGACCACCAGCTACTGACCCTCTTCTGGCCTCTCTGCCCAGGAGCTCCCCAGGCCCTGTCAGCCAGGACAGTCCCCAGAGTGAGCATCTGGCCTTGCATGCTGACTGCTCCATTCTGGACCTGAACAGTGAAGGGGTTCAGACCCAGCAAGGAACCCTCTCACTGCCACCAGACCTGCTCCAGACAGAACACAGTTTGCAACACCTTAACCTGTCCAATCAGGCACGCCTCCACTCACAGTCCCCCGCCACCCAGTTATGGTTTGGCTGTGTGGACAAGCCGTGTACACTGTTTTTCAAGATGTGTGTCAGTGTGTCAGTGTGGGGCAGCCACCCATAGCCAGGGCACTGTAAAGCCCGGTGGGTGTCAGGCAATCCAGACGAGGCCTGAGAAGTCTCCCGATGACACACCACAACCCAAGCAGACACTGTCACCTCTCCCACAGGTGAGAACTCGTGGAACCCCATTCATTCAGACACTCTGGCCTGGACAGCAGCTGCTCCTGCCCCTCGTAAAAGGGCTATGTGAAGCCGAGCAGCTGGCGGCCAGACACTCAGCACAGCCAGGAGGAAGTAGGCAGATTTTCTCAGGACCCCAGACCAGCCTCTCCCGTAGACCCCTTCTAGCAAGCTCATGTGTGTGTGTGTGAGAGAGCTTCTATCTTCTAACAGATCTGAGGCGAGGCAAGGGAGAGTGGGTGGGAGAGAAAGCCCAGAGTCCTCCAACCCCACTCCTGCAATGCATTCGAGGGGTTCAGAAACCCTTCAGCCGGACACAGACGCCCTTTGTGCCCAGTGCCACCTGCATTCAGCTGCCGCCTGCAGGAAGAGGCAACCAAGAGGTCAGTCAGCGGTCCCCGAGCCGTCGGGGTTCCCATGCATGCTGAGTGAACCGGGTACCGCCTTGGCGCCTCACCTTCTGCGCCTGGCTGATCATCTTGCGCACCACTTCCTTGATGTGCGGCTGTCCGTCGATGGGTGGCTGCATGTAGACGCTGGCCCGGGTGACACCCCTGTAGGCGATGGTGTCAGGCCAGCCCAGGTCCAGCTGCGGGATGGAGCGGTCCGACTTCTGGGGCCAGTACTCCAGCGAGGGCTGCGGCTCGGCCGTGGCTGGGGGTCCTCCCGCCGCGCTGGCATCCTCACTGGCATCCGCGCCGCCGTTGTCCTGGGGCTCGGGCCGCTGGCCCGAGCCCCGCGGGTCCTCGGAGCCCGGGTCGTACACCTCGATGGCCTCCACGATGCGCGCGAGCTCCAGCTCCGACAGAAAGTCGCGGATGTTCTCGCGCTTCAGCACCTCGTAGAAGGCATCGCGACCGCGGGCCACCAGGGCCTCCAGGGCTAGCCGCTGCTCCTCGCTGTAGAAGAACTCGGGCTTCGACTCGCTGGAGCGCCAGTTCACGTGGTTGTCATCCAGACACTGCACTTGGGAAAAGGCCATGGCGGCCCTCGCTGTGGGAACGCCGCCCGACGGGCACCGCGCTCTCGAGCTTCACGGCCGCAGCGCCTCTGCGAACCGCACCTGGGGGAACCAGCAGAAGACCGGGGACCGGGTCAGAGGGCGGGTGTGGGCGGGGCAGAGCGGCATGGGCGGGGCGATGTCGCGGGGGCGGGGCGGGTGGGCGGGGCGTGGGAAGGGAGCCGACCGTCCAGGGCAGAGGTTCGCCTCTTGGGATCCGCCTGAGGTTCGCGGAGCCCTGGGAATAAGCTGGGGCTGCCGGGGAACCCCGCCCCAGTCCGGAGTAAGAGCAGGGGCGCCAAGCCCGATCTGGGCTTCGGGAAGGGAGGCTCGCAAACCCGGAGGCCTGCTCGGAGGAGGGAGTCGCTTACCGGGCAGGTGGCGCCGTGCAGAGCTGGCGACCCCAGGAACCACAGGCGCTGGTAGTGGCAGCGGGCAGGACGGCCGGTGACTAAGGGCGGTCCCTCACAGGCCCTCCGCCCTCACCTGGGGTCACGTGCGGCCCTGAGGGCGGAGCCGGAAGCTGATTCATCTTCCACAGACAGAGTAAGGCTGGACAGTTTGCTGCCTCGGGCCGCACAGAAACCCTCCTCCCCCGGTTTTGCTGGCGAGCCTGATTCAGCCCTGGCCCAGTTTTGTCTTCTCGCAGGTGGGATGCTCAGCTGTCCAATTGAGGAGAGAGAGTTGGTTCATGGACTGAAACCCCTCTCCCTCCAACTGCTTCCACACTTTTGATGTCCGCAGAGCTGACATACCCACCTGTCATGACCTGGAGCACAGCATGTGCCTAAACCCTGCGGCAGGGAAGGGTGAACAGGACCAGGCTGTGCTCAGACCCAGCTCTTGGCTAAGTGTCCCCCAGCAATGGATTACGTTGTATTCACATCTGAGGGCAAGGTGTCAGGTGCAAATTGGCAAAACTCAATAAACCCTGCAGACAAAAGGCTCCTTCCCTGAAGCTTTTAGCTGCAGGGCACCAGGCCAATCCTGCCTTGTCTTCCCAACCATCCACCAGCTCTTGGCCAGGATGGAGCTGGTTTGAATCCCAGTGGACCCTGGACTTGTCTGACTGAGATGTCTCATAGCATCCTTGTACCCCTCCAGACACATTGCCACTGCCCATTAGCCTGGAAGCCCTCCTTGCCCTGCATCTGCTGCCCCTCAAGTCTAGTTAGTACACAGGGTCGCATCATTGATCCCCAGGCCCAATCCCTCCACTCCAACCTTTGGACCCTCATCCATATCAGGACTTATACCTGTGAACACTGGGTTTTGTTGTTTTGGTTTGGTTTGGTTGTTTTTCGAGACAGGGTTTCTCTGTGAAGCTTTGGTTCCTGTCCTGGAACTAGCTCTTGTAGACCAGGCTGGCCTCGAACTCACAGAGATCCGCCTGTCTCTGCCTCCCGAGTGCTGAGATTAAAGGCGTGTGCCACCACCGCCAGCAGAACACTGTGTTTCCACACCTGCTCCTTTCCCCTCTAGCCTACCTGAATCACCCCTCCCCTCCCATTCCCAAGGAGACGAGAGAGGCAGGGGTGTGTGTCTTGGACTCCCAGCAAAACTGTACTGGTTCTCAGTTTGTCCTCTTGTTCTTACCACTGTAGAGTTCCTGGTTTCGTTAAGGAACCTGGCCTCCAGGCTGGAAGGCTCTTTATTTGCCTCACTCTTGGTCAAGTCACAAGAAGTTGTAAGAAGTGAACAGGGAAGTTTTGGGTACCTTTCACCACTTCCTACAGTGGTATATCCTGACATAACTGTCTCAGCCAGAAGAGTCTCTGGTGCCATCCACAAAACTGCATCAGATCTCATTAGTACTGTGTGTGTGTCTATGTGTGCGTGTTTGTGTGTGCATATGAGTGTGTGTGTGTGTAGGAAGGGTATACAGTGTTGTCATATGTATAGATTTGTGTAACAGTCGTTACCATCAAGATGTATAGGGCAGTGCACATTGACAGTCCCAGGACTTGGGATGCTGGGGCAGGAGGATTGCAGGCTTGAGGCCAGCCTGGAATAGCAGAACTGTACCACTGCAGAGACCTTACTCATTAGAACTAAGCATCCAGGTTCCCATCCTAACCCTGGCTGCCATTTTCTCCCTCCTGGTCCTGTGAAGATGACAGTGCCATTAGCAAACTTCCAGGGTGCAGCCTAGAGCTCTGGGCCATCTTCTAGCCCCACCAGCAAGGCGAACACATGCTCATCCATTTACGTAATTGTATAGTATTTTGGTGTGGTTATTATTTATTTATTATTTATTCATTTTGCAGTGGCAGGGATGGAGCCTAGCCACTCATGCAAGCACTCTATAGCTCAATAGGCTTTTTTCTTCTTCTGAGACAGGGTTTCTCTGTAGCCCTAGCTGTCCTGGAACTTGCTCTGTAGAACAGGCTGTCTTGAACTCACAGAGATCTGCCTGCCTCTGCCTCCCAAATGCTGAGATTAAAGGTGTGCGCCACCACTGCTTGGCCTCAGTGGTCTTACTATGCTATAAACTGTACTCGTGATGACTTTTGTTGATGTCTCAGTTCCTACTGCTCTGATGAAACACCATGACCAACAGCAACATGGGGAGGAAAGGGGTTATTTTCCTTATACTTCCAGGAAGCAGTCCATGCTCCAGGAAAGTCAGGGCAGGAACTCAAGGCCAGAACCTGGAAGCAGGAACTGAAACAGAGGCTGCGAGAAAGTGCTGTGTGCTGTCTTGCTCTCCAGGGCTTTCTCAGTACTGCTCTCTTTCAGAACCCAAGCCCACCAGCCCAGGATGGCACCACCCACACTGACTGAGCCTGCCCGCATCAATCACTATTTAAGAAGATGCCATGCAGGCTTACCTACAGCCTGACCTCCTCACATGGTTCTGACTTAAGTCAAGCCGGCATAAAACTAGCCAGGGCAGCCATTGAACGTCGTTTCGTTTCCGTGTGTATGTTCTCAGTGGGGTTCTGCTCGTAGCTTTTCCCATTTCTTTATAGATTCCTCTCTGTTGCTGAGTTTCTAGCGCTCTTATGTACTGTAGATACAGAGTCTTTGTCTGGCGTGTGGAGGGTGTGTGGTCTCTTCCAGTCTGCAGTGTGTGTCTCTGTCCTCTTCACGGGTATCACACGGAGCAGAAGTTGTGCGTTTTGATAGTGTCACTTCATCGGTTTTGCCCGTCACAGATCATGCCTTTGCTGTAATATCACTTTTGACCTACTCCCCAAAGCTCAATCACTGGTTAATAGTCCGCATTAAAATCCATGATCCATTTTGAGCTAAGTTTACATAAGGTTTGATGGTTGAGTTGAGGTTAAGTTTTTGTCCTGTACAAGAGGAAACAACCTTAGAGACATTAAAGGATCACTCTGCATCATACAGCAAGGGTCTGGGGAAACCGGTTTCCAACTGGGTCCGACATGCCTGTTTCCAGCACTTACTAGCCAAACAGCCTCTGAGCTGGCTCCCAGAGATGGGCGAATGTGTCCGGTGAAATGTCGTGAGGACCTTAACTGCCCTTAAGGCAGTGTGCCTGGCAGCTCCCTTAGGAGAGGGCCATTCAGTTGGTCAACAAACTTGGCCAGTATTTGCCATATGTTGGCTGTGCTAGGCATGACTGAAACCCAGGAGTCTCCCAGGGACCCCACAACCTTGGTGGGGAGCAGGGCTGACAGAAGTTGGAAGGTTATTGGTGCTGAGGAGGATATTGCTACCAGACCTGGGGAAGCCAAACATCCGTGAGATCAGAAGAATGAATTTAAATTCCTTGGGTTTATGAGGAGGGAGGGGCGTTCCAAGGAAAGGGAACAGCAGATACAGAGGCTCAAAGATGCCCACAAAAGCCTGGGTGCCGCCTGCGGGGGAGGGGCGGGGACAGAGGTGTGGGGAATGAAGGTGCCCAAAGGGTCAAGGTTTGGCACAGTCTGAGCCTTGTGACCCTCTGTGGAATATGGGGATAGTGAGCAGGACAGGCCACGGGCAGACTGGTTGATAGAAGGGGCGGTGAGGAGGTGACATCCTGTCACTAGGAACCAGGCTGGACTTGGCACTGACCATGGGGAAGTAGGATATGAGGTAGAGAGAGGTGGTCCCAGGCTTGGGTGTGACACCTGGCTCTGGAAAAGCCAGAGCCAGGTAGGAGCCCCCTGGCCTCTGCTGCTGCCCAGCCTCAGGTGTCCAGGGCAGAATTCAGTTTGGGTGAGGAGTCTGGGTGAGGCACGGTGAATTTGGGGGATCCCCTCACCTGGCTTTAAGAGTCATCATGTGTTGGGATGCTGTCCCTGCCTCCCAGGAGGGTTGGGTCCTCTGGTGGCAGAACTGGCAGGGCTGGGCCCAGGATGCAAATTGTCAAGAGGTCTCACAGCCTGCCAGAGTCCCAGGCTCTGTTCTGGGTTTGTCTGTGTGTCTTCCTCAGGTCTGTAAACCCCCTGGGAGAGGAGATGGGAGGAAGTACCTGAACACGTGGGGGGGGAACTCTTCCTGGGAACCTTTCTCCCTTCTCTTCCTCCGTCCTTCCGCCCTCCTCCCTCCCTCCCTCCTCTCACTTACTCATTCCTTCATTCAGCAAAAGTTCAGACTGTCTCCTCTGGGCCCAGCCCTGGGCTGGGCGATGCCAGGAACTGGGGATGATTCAAACTGGTGTCTGCCCTTGGGGTGCTCCAGAGCCGGTGAGGAAGGTGGCATGGTAAACAAGCCACAGGAACTGATCCTGGACCTCAGGAGTTCTAGGCAGGTGGACAGGTAGGGGCAGTCAGGAACCTCAGAGGAGGAGCAGGGGATAAACAAAGGCCGCCATGGGTGTCAACAGGACAGCAGCACACAAGGGAGGAGGGCCTGTGCCTTCAGAGACACGGAGGCACCAAGTGCCAGGCGTGTGCAAAAAAGCACAAGCAAGGAAGATGGTCCTGGGTGCTGGGATGCTCGACAGAGGTTATGGGACCAGCCACCTCCCAAAAGGCTGGCCTCCCCTCTCCTGATTCTACTTCCCACCTTCAAGAGGGTGGTCGAGACCACCGATGGGTGGGCAGGTGTAGAAGTGGCAAGCACCGGCACAGGGTCACAGGTAGGGCACACCGCCAGTAGCCCCTGGCTTGGAGCTGGGAGCAGGAAACAACCAGATGAGGGCCAATGATGGAGGCAGAGGCAGGGACAATAACGGGGGCCAGAGCCCCAAGGACTAGCTCTGGGAAACTGAGGTGAGGAGTCAGAGGGGCCGCCGCCGAGCAGCTCAGGCTAGTCTGGTGTATGTGTGTATGTGATGCCCAGGTATTGTTTTCTCACAGATGATGTGGGCTGTGTGGTACCATCTGAGTGTCTGCGGGCCTGTGGGGCTGAGATCGGCTGCTCCAACATTGCCTATCCAAAGCTGGTCATGGAGCTGATGCCCATAGGTGAGTCCCCGTGTCATATACAGGTGATAGATCCTGGTGACTGAGGATTGGAATTGTGGCTACTGCTCTGTATGAGTCCCTGTGCCATCTGCACAGCCAGATCAGAAGTGACCGTAAGTAAAACCCAGGCTTCCCATATGTCAGATCTTTTTTCTCCCCAGACTGCTCAGCTGGGCTTATCTTCATTTAAAGATGGTGACTCGGGGTTGGAGAGATGTGGTTAAGAAACATTGCAGATGATCTGGGTTTGATTTCCAGTACCCATATGGTGGCTCACTTGTAACTCCAATCCCAGTGAATCTGATCCCCTATACTGGCTTCTCAGGGCTCTTGCACACACATGTGATACATATAAACTCATGCAAGCAGATACACACACGCATAAATAAATCAATCTAAAAAAAAAAGAGAGAAAGCCCTAGACAGGTGAGGTGACCTTGCTAAGGCCACAGGCATGCCAGCTACTACAGACCTGACCATGCGTATCACCTCCGGAGAAAGGCTACCTACTGCCTTGTCTTCACCTTTTTATTAATACCTTCTTATATGGGGAAACTGAGGCTGAGGATGTCATGCAAACTGAAGTCCTCTGCTTACTCCTTTGAGATCAGGAGTCCGGGACCCTTGGCACCCATATTTGTAAGAATGAGCTCCACCCACAAAGGTACTGTTGTCATGGCACAGAAGAGCCATGGCACAGGTTTTGGCTTTCCCCATGGTCCTTGTGGTAGCCCTGCTATTCTAGTATTAGGTGGTGAGTTCCCCAGCCAGGGAGGCGTGCAAGCAGCAACAATGGTCCAGGGCTGGGGGAAGTTCCACCCTAAGCCAGCTCCAGGAGCTCTGCAATCTAGACTCATCTGGAAGCCGAGGCTCTTCCCTGCCTCCCGCCTTCCTTCCCACAGAGCCAAGCCCAGATGTCCACACACCTGGGAACAGACTTCGGCTCTGCTATGTGCCAGTGGGGTTATTTGGAGCACACCACTTACCTGCTTAGAGCCTGGTGCCCTTGTGTGTGTAAATTGGGGATAATGAGTCTACCCAACCTGAGGGTTGTGGCCAGGATTAAGCCTAATGACACAACAGAGACATGGCCTGACCGCACTGTGGACTCCCACCTCAGGCTGTGCCTCCCCTTCCATACTGAGCTAAGGACTCAGCCTAGCACTGACAGACACTTGTTGGGCCACCAGCCCTTTCTATGCCTTGAGCTCCGTCTCAGAAATGGGTACAGTGAGCAACAAGTCAACTACTTTCCAAGCACCAAGGGGGGTAGATAAATATTTGGGGTAACCATGACTTAATTCACATTCCTGAGAAGTAAACCAAGCAGGGCATGGGATGCCTAGAAGTCATGCTATGGAGTTGAGGTCAGGTGTATCAACACCACTCTGGAAGGCAGAGGGGAGGAGTCACAGGAGGTGACCAAACTAAAGCACCACAGCACTGAGTCCTTTGGGCCCTTTGGAGCCCCTAACTCCCAAAATGTTGCCTTGTCTGGCCAGGGGCCTTTCACTCACAGAAAATAGGGTGGGTTTCTCTTGCCCTCACCTCCACAAAGGCTCTCTCCCAGCGTCAAGAAGGGCTCCGCCATGCCTGCTGGGACTTGTTGTGTACAGGAAGTGGTGTGTCAAGGAGTTCCAGAGACTAGGCCACTGCCCAGGTGTGACCTTGCTGCAAAGGGTCCCATGCTTGCCACCCGCCTCCCCTCCCAATCCCCATCGTTCTGCCGTGGTAACTGATTCTGTCCTGGGCTCCTCACTCTAAGGCAATTGGATCGGGACAGGGAAAGTGCTTTGTCAGCTCAGGCTCCGCAGAAGGTAGACACCAGGGCTGTAAACAGCCCTGCCATGGGGGTGATTACTCCACAGCAGGGCCACAGGCTGCTCACTCCCAGCCGGGCAGGGTCACAGTGGGGGCCCTGTTCTGCCCGCAGGTCTTCGAGGGCTGATGATAGCTGTGATGATGGCTGCGCTCATGTCATCGCTGACCTCCATCTTTAACAGCAGCAGCACACTCTTCACCATGGACATCTGGAGGCGGTTGCGGCCGGGCGCAGGAGAGCGGGAGCTGCTGCTGGTGGGCCGGTATGGGACAGTCGGGGCAAGGTGGGGCTTCTGCAGCACCACCTGTCTGGGAAGTCCTCACCAGATTTGGGGTTTGAAGGATGCATAGGAATTTGCTAAGCAGTGAAAGAAGGGAAGCGGCCAGAGTATCTGGGGTACACTTGTCATTCCTGAGCTGACTCCTTCACCTGGAGTCAACTCTGCTTCCCCACCTAAGCCAAAGATCTTTCTGAGCCTTCCAGTTTGCTCTGGCTACCCTGGGATCCCAGAGCTAATCCTCAAACTGGCCACACCCGGACCACAATGATGCCCCTAGTCTCAGGCTTCCAACACCCTGGGCCGGCTGAGGACCCGCTGTTTCCTCCAGCTGGCTCTCTTTCCTCCACCCAGCACTCAGCCTCACCTCTGTCCTCTGGGTAGCCCTCCAGATACTCCCCACAAAGAGTGAGCACTCCCCACCACACCCCAGACCACTACCAGATCCCTCTCTCACTGTCAGGCCATAATATGTCAAAATGAGCCTCCCTGCGGGACATTTCCGCCCTGCCCCTGTGCTTGACTGTGAGCCTGTGGGGCGACGGAGAGTGGTCTCCTCCTCGTGTGCCTGCTCCCTGCTCACTAACAAGGACTGACTGCAGTCTTCCTCCTGGAGCCTGGGGCAGGGGCTCTCCCAGCGCTTGTTCCGGTGAAGCAAAGCAGCCAGCTTCTGTGAGAAGAACCCTGTTGGGACATGCCTGGGAGCCGGGGTGTCATGAGCTCATCTGCAGGAAGGGAGCCTTTGGACTCTCTAGCAGTTCAGGTTCTGACCTATCAGACCTGGTCACATGACACCTGACCACCTGTTTGCTCCTGCCTCTCTGCAGCTGCAGTGACCAGAGGCCTGTCTAAGATAGCTTTTTCCTTGAAAGAAGCCCTTCAGACTCCAACCTCCCAGGCCCTGGGTCTGGGCATCTCTGAGCCCCGCTCTCTGGCCTAGGACTCCAGTGGCCCTAGCAACCTTGGCCTATGGCCCCCTGGCCTCCCAGAAACAGGCTCTTCCTAGCTGGCCTCATTCTAAGCCAGAGGCAATCTGGGATTGCAGGCCGACAGTGATGCTCAGGACCCTACCCTCCTCCTTTACTTCCCTCGCAGCTGCCCCATTCTGTCTCTTCCCTTGGAGTTCTATGTCTAACAGCAATTCGGAGGACTCAGCCCCCCCCAACACACACACACACACAAACAACTCACACCATGCCAGACACTCATGAGATTGGCTGTGTGCGCACCCCCTGGAGGTTGTTTTAGGAATAGGCAGCCTCCTCCTCATCCAGGGGCCCAGTCTTGAACGGAAGGCCAGCAACGTGAAGATTGAAGTTCAGGAGCTGCTAGGCCCTCCGGCTGGAGGGTGCAGGTCTTGTCGGTGGAGACCGCCAGGCTTTGAAGAGGCCTCGCCCAGCTGTGCTCCAGTCTAAGGGTTAATTAGCCTCAATCAAAGCTGCACCTCCTCCTTCTGCCACCCTCTGCCCGGGGCCCGGCCTGAAGCAAATTGGGAAGGTGGGGGAAGGACCCACCCTTCTGCACACAGCCAGTCAGTCGGTCTTGCACGGCGCCGGCCACCGGCCTCGCCTGCCCACTGTACCCCTGAGTGAGAGGGGAGAGGACTCGGCCAGGTGTGATTACAGCCCTGGCAGGGTGACTCAACCTCTGAGTTTCCAGGCTCCCCCCTGAAGCCCCCAGACCCACACTGTCCCTGAGTTCCTTTGGGCGTAGGATGGTGGATCTGTTTGCATGGCCAGCCCCAAAGCCTGGAGAGTTTCTAACAAGGCCTTGGGGGGAGGAGCAAAGCGCCCGCGGGCAGCGGATAGGTGGAAGGCGGGGTGTTACCCGCCGAGCGTTGAGGGTTAAGGGACTAGAGCATGCTGGCTGGGATTGTGCAGTTTCCGCAGGTGTTCTAAATCCCTCCAGGTTGGCCCCAGGTATGAGGGCCACTGTGACAATCACCGACCCCCAAATGCCTAGCGCCTGCATGCTTGTAGTTGGGGGTGCACGGAGAAGGCAAGGGCAGGGTTGAGTAACTGGCCGCATGGGCCGCAGGGGGCCACGGCAGGAGATGGAGCTGGAGCGTTTGGTTCCTGGTGGCCTGCGCTTAAATGGGCAGAGGGAACCAGAGGCAGGTCTTGGGGAGCAAGGGAAGTTCAAAGCTGAGGCAGGGCTGGCCGCCCGCAGGCTGGTCATCGTGGTGCTCATAGGCGTGAGCGTGGCCTGGATCCCAGTCCTGCAGGGCTCCAACAGTGGACAGCTCTTCATCTACATGCAGTCGGTGACCAGCTCGTTGGCGCCCCCTGTCACCGCCATCTTCGTTCTGGGCATCTTCTGGAGGAGGGCCAATGAGCAGGTGGGTAGCCCAGACAGGTCCGGCGGGGTTCCCCTTAAAGGGTGCCCCACGAGTCCTTTGAGGTCTTCCTCTGTCTCTCTTTTCCCTAGGGGGCCTTTTGGGGCCTAATGGCCGGGCTGCTGGTGGGTGCCCTGAGGCTGGTCCTGGAATTCCTGTACCCGGAACCCCCCTGCGGCCAGCCAGACTCGGGGCCAGCCCTTCTCCGCAGTGTGCACTACTTGCATTTTGCCATCGCCCTCTTCCTCCTCACCTGCGCTGTGGTGGCCGCTGGAAGCCTACTGAGCCCGCCCCCTCAGCAAAGCCAGGTGAGGCAGTCCTGTTCCCTGACCCCAGGCACCACAGGCCCCATTCCTGACCTGACTGATGGAATCCCGTCTCTGTGCCCCTCTCTGATTCCAGACATTCCCACCTTTGACTCCTAACCCTTCCTTGTTTGAAGCTTCTTTCTGTAACTGACCTTCTGCTTTCTGGGCCACTCTGTCTTGCCACACCTCTTCCCTGCAGATAGAAAACCTAACCTGGTGGACTCTGGTTCTGGACCCGTCCTTAGGAACCAAAGCAGGTAAGTGGATCTCCCTGGGACTGCTCCTCATCCCACCACCACGCTGGGGCTGGAGGTATGGACACCCAAGTATAGCCTGTAAACCCTCACTGACCTGCCTCAACCTCCTGTAGGCGATGGCCTGACACCCCAGAAACGTGCCTTCTGGACCCGCGTGTGCAATTTCAACGCCATCTTCCTCATGTGTGTCAACATCTTCTTCTATGCCTACTTTGCCTGATGCTGCCACCCCAGTGGGAATGTGGGTGCTTCAGTCCTCAGGGCCACCCTCCTTCCTAGGCTGGTCATGGAGGCCCAAGGAAACAGAGTGTGTCCACAGCTCTACAGTAGTCAGCACCAAGTGTCTGGCTGAGCCAACGGAACTGGAGCTCTGAAAATATGGTGGGGAGGCCTTTCAAAAACAGCACTAAAGGAGTCAGATATGTTGGGGGCGGGGGACTGAGAGGAGGGAGGGGAAACCATGGTCTGGATGTAAAAACAAAAATAAATATGCAAAAGAGAAGTCTGATTTGGAAGATTCTGTTGGATGTCTACTGGTTCATGTTTTATTTTGAATATGCAGGTATGGGTTGGCAGCATAGGGTATGCCAGGCTCAGAGCTTGAAGGGTCTTGGGCCAGCCTGGACTCAGGGAGAACTCCTGCAACCTGGGCTCTTCAAGGGACTAAAGACAACCACAGAGGTGCACGCTCTCTCTCCTCCTCCCTCCCCCAAAGCCCACCACCATGCCAGGCCTTGTCAAACCTGACCCAGTTTTCCCAACCTGAAGGTGCTGTGACTCTGGGCAGAGACAGCTCAGGGTCCCTCAATGGCCAGGCATCATCTCCTTGGACTTCATGTCCACTCACTGCAGGCCGTAGGCTGTCTGTTCTTCCAGAACAAGCAGAACCCATTGCCTCCAGGCTGGGCTCTCTCTGTAGCTAACAGGAGGGGACCCACTGTATTGCGTCTGTCCCTAAAGGGCCTCTTCCGATGGGACTCACCTCTATAGAGCCTCATCAGGTGCTGGTAGGGTAAGGCCAGGGGCTTCCAAAGTGTTCAAGTGGGAGGAACTACCCTGAGCCCTCATGGAAGTCCAGGTTGCTCAGGGCTAAGTCACATTCCCTGCAACTTGCACAATCTGAAGGGTGCTTTTGGAACATGGGCGGCAGGTAACTGCTCAAGGGGAGCACTCTTTGAGCGGGGCCCTAGCCATTAGCAGTTGGTCCTCAAGCCTAGAGAGGCTGGGCCTTGTCAGTGGTGGGTGGCATCATGAACCCAGCAACCAGCCTGGTGGTGACCAACATCGGTCCTGGTTAGTGTGAAGAGGCTGTGCCCAGAGCATCGCTCCTCTGGTCTTACGGGGTCACAGGTGTACCGGCTGCACGTAGCTCCGTGGGAAAAAACCCAGACGCCCACCGGCCCGGCCCCGCCACCAGTGCTGGTCCCCACACTCCACGACTTCCACGATGTCACCTCGGCGGAGGCTAAGCTGGGATGAGTCTTGTGCTGAGAAGTCAAACTGGGCCTGGGCAAAGCAAGCCCTGGTCGGCTGTGGAGGAGCAGGCAGAATAATTAGTGGCCTTTGGAGGCAGTGAGCTGTCTTTCGCCAGGAGCCCCATGGAAAACGTGCTCTCCCGCTGGGGGACATGGGACAGGCCCTCTGCCACTCACAGCCCTGCTACATAGTTTGTGGAACTAAGGTCCAACTCTCTCTGGGTCCTGTTACCTACCTCTGAGCTCACAAAAACATGGTAACTGATGCCAGGCATGGAAGTACTCCAAGGCTTGGAAAACACTGAGGAGCAGATTCTTCTGCAGCCTCCTCAGGCTTGGGGGAGTAGAAACACTACCCCCACTATCTATCTGCTCTCAGGTCTGGGTCCTGGGTGTGGATAGCTTTGGCTCATCTCTGCCTCCTGGGCTCTACCATCTTCCCTATTGTTCTTGCTAGGCACCTGCTGTGTCCCAGCTCAGGCCCTCCCCTCTGCCTCTGCTGAGCCTGCAGAACTTCCAAACATGATAGGATCAGTGGGCTCTGCCCAGGAAGGAAGAAGCTCACCCTGCCTCCCTCCCCCCAATGGTGACCCCAGGCTCTGGCAGAGCCAGTACAGAGGAAACAGGTCAGATCAGCCCCTCCCTTTTCACCAGGCAGAGCTGGCCTAGGTGGTGAGCAGGAGGGGCTGATGTTTGGACCTTAGCTCACTAGGCCAGACAGTGGAGCCATGTGGGCACCATTAGGGGGTCTCTGAAGTCACAGTGTGTCTCTCCTGGTAAAGCAAACCCCTAACTCGTCCCATTGAACAAAGGGGAAACCAAGGCGGAGCTAAGGATTGAAATGGCCCCCAGGTCACATAGCAGGGTCTCAGAGAAGAGAAAAACACAAGGTCTGACTGCAAAGTTGAGCAGCCCTCTCCAAGCCTTGGCAGGAATCATACTCCCCTCCCTCTCTGTGGTGCTCAAGTTCAAATATGCCCAGGTCTTGATTTGTCCTGGCCTCGAAGCAAAACACTGTGCTGCACTAATAACCCAGTCGGCTGGTGTCGTCATCCTAATGAGAGCGAGAGCTGCTCCTGGCTCCTTGATGAAAGGACTGGCTGCTGGAAAATTGTTGTTATTGTGAGGACTAGGGCTGGATGGATCTCTCTACACCTGGGGCCCAGCTAGGCCTTGTCCCTGAGGGGGGTCACACTGCCCACATCCTGTCCAAGTTCAGCTCCTCCTTGGGAAGCAGAGAAGGAACCTCTCGTTGAGCTGGCTCACTCTTGGCCCCTGTTTCCTCATCTGTGTAACGGGAATAAAGAGGTGGGCATAACATGGGCACAGAGTACCAGGCTCATCCCAGTGCTCGGGAGGCTGAGGTAGGAGGATCACGGAGACTTCAAGGCCAATCTGTTCTACATAGCACATCTCTGGCCAGCCCGGGGTACACAGAAAGATCCTACCTCAAAACAAACAAAAATCCTGCCAAAACCCAAATCAGAGTGCACAGTGCAGCTCGGCTTGTGGGACTCAGCAGGTGTTCATACACTCGTTCACTAGCAAGCACTTATTTTCACTTATTGCACACCCTACACGATTTCAGTGTGTGGGCAGGGTGAAGTTTCTGCACTGTTCCTACCTTCTCTACAGTCCTTCTTCCTTCCCTGTAGGGACCACACTCATGCCGCTTTGGGGACTTGGGCTTCTGGGGAGGGCAAGGCAGTGCTCCTCAGACTCAGGATTCCTTGTCCCAGCTTTACCTGGGTCAGTGGTTGTTCATCACACAGGAAGATCTGCCGCCTCTTGGCGATGGTGGTGGTTCGGTAGAAGTCGACCAGCTCGTTGAGGGAGTTGAACTTCTCTTCCCATAGGAAGTACTTCCCTGAGGCCTCTCGAAGCACCTTAAAGTGCTGCACCTGGTCGCCATAACTGCGGGGAAGACCCAGTGCCTCAGACCTAGCCCCGTCTCTGGAGCCAGGCACTTCTCTGGGGGCATCTGAAGTCAAAGGAGGCAAAGACACTGGAAGCCATCCTGGTAGAATATGGGGTTCAGGGCATGGGCTCTAGACAAGGGCACTTTTTTGCTGTGTGGCTTCAGGCAAGCCATTTAACTCCTCTGAACTCCTCAGTTTTCTTATAGGGAAAACACTTCATAGTGTTTTAGGATAAGAAAGCTGAAACACACCATTGGCGTACTGGTACCATCACTGGGTACCTCTGGGCACATGTCTTTCATACCTCTTTGGCATCCCTTCAACTTTGACAATCTCTTTCTTCCCCTCCCCCTCCCAGTCCTCCCAGTACTCTAGGGAGTGAGTCCCAAGATCATGCAGACTCTGATCAAACTCTGTGCCTATGATAGCTACCCAGGCGTTCTGACTATTCCGTGTCCTTTCTTTCCCCTCAAGAGCCTTCCATGGCTGCCACTGCCCTCATGATAAACCCAACTCTTCAGATTCAAGAGCTTGCTTCTTGTCTTTGCTAGCTTCTCTGAAACCAACGGCCCCTTCTTTCTAATTCTATGTTCAGCCTTTCAGACCAATGCCACCAAAATGTACCAAGTCTATCCCAGTCCCGCTAAAGCAGGCCATCCTGTTAGGGACTGTGCCCAGGGACCTGCCTGGGCCTAACCTGCAACCTGTTGCACACCAGAACAGCCAGACAGCTTCAGAGGTGCCATTGGGAGTGGGCATGGTAGCAGCGGTTAAATCTGGGACCCGTTTCCTGTCACAGGTGGCTAGTCTTACCTCCTGACCCTATGCATAGTAGGGAAACTGAGGCCTGAGTGCAGCCGCAGCCTGTCCAGAAATCCACAGAAGGAAGGCTAGGTGGTGCTGCCTCTAGTCACAATGCTCAGAGGAGCTCTCTGATTGATTATTGGTGGGGACAATGGCAGTTGTCACTCCCACAGGGACAATATGTCCCAGATATTATTCCAAATGCGACCTACACCCTGGGCTGCGCCCTCCAGAGACCATTCTCCTCCCAAGTCTGTAGCTGCACCTTGCCCTCCACTGCTCCTTCTCTCTCCAGCCCCAGGGATGGGCTGAAGGTTTAGGATGAAGACAGCGCTAGGAATCTGGGGACGCTCCCTGCCCAGCCCTGACTAGAGTCTGGAGTGGGCGTCGGCTCACACCTGGAATCCCAGAGTCCAGTGGAAAGCCAGTCTGGACTACGTAAACAATCCTCTCTCTAGGCCTTGGTCTTCCAGGAGGAACGTATTTTTGCATTGCCATTCACGGTCAAGTCACTGATAAACTGCCCACTTCTGGAGAGCTGACCCCGTGCGATTCATCAGGGCCAGGGTTCAACTTGGATCCCAGTATCCCCACCCAGTCTTATCGCTCTCAAATCTCACAGAGGCTTGTGGACGGGCACCAGAAGCAAGGAGATAGAGCTGCCCTGAACGTCTCCATAGCCCACGACGCCTTCAGCCCCTCACCGCAGGCTTTGCTGAGGGCTTTTCCATGGGGGCTGTAGCTACCAGGTGACCTGGCCTCAGACCAGTCCTACCTGCACTGCTTATACACCTTTGGAAGGGCCAATTTCCTCAGAGGAGGCTTCTGCCAGGGCCGCCACAATCCCCACGCCTCAGTGCCTAAGGTGTGGGTGTTGAGGGTGAGCAGGGGACAGTGGGCCCACCTCTCTGGCCTCAGGGGTAGCTGCATGGGGAGGGGTCACTTTGAACAACAGAGTGGCTTGATGTGGCTAGGAGTGCAGGGACCCAGCAAGGCAAGATGGAGTGGGACAGGGCAGGCTCCGGACTCATAAGTCCTTGCTCCTCCGAAAGCAGCCGAGAGCCTGAGGCTTGGAGAATTTTGCAGAGGGTTGCTCTTGGATCCCACGGGAGAGCTGGGGGACAGGGCACGGGGCCAGGAGTTCTAGAACTTTCCAACCTGGCAGCTGGGAAATTCTTAGGGCTGGGAAATGTGACAGTCTGGGCTGTATGTGACATGTCTTGTCCTTTCTTCCACCTGGCCTGCACTGTAGCTTTTCCTGTTTCCAAGCTGAGGAAGGGCCAGGCTGTCTGGAAAGGGGTCGATCCCTCTACATCTCCATCCCACACTGCTCCTCAGGACCCCACCCTGCCCCCGAGCCCCAGAGCTGGGTTCTGGACTCCGGGGCTTTGCAGTAGTCCCTGGCACACTTATCTTTACTTATCTCCACCTCTTTGGGGGTGACTGCTTGTGTCCCTCGCTGGGCACTGCTCTGTGACCCCTGACCCCAACCCCCAAAGGGACTATGCTGAGCCAGTTCCCTGCATTCGAAAAACTCATGGTCTTAGTCAGGACAGTCTTGCTCATCGAGTTTTTCCTGCCTGGTCGCAGCAGCCGCTGCTGAGAGGGGAAGGGAGGTTGGGTGGGCAGGAGCCCACATGCCCCTGTTCCCAGCTGGGGTTCACTTGGGTCAGGCCTGGGCACTCACTGCTCCGTCCACTGGGGAACAAGGGGGAGTGGAGAGTCCTCACTGCAGCTCACAGGGAGAGGAGAGCCGGCCTTGAGAGGCCCTGCCAGGTCTTTGTGTTTCAGGAAACTGTCTGGCAGGACACTGAGGTCAGTAGCAAGTTTCTCGCCTCTCTTTCTTTACCTACACACTGGGATCTACAGCCCTGCCTCGTTTACTCCAGGTGCCATTATTTGCTGATCATGAGTTCTTCATTCTACCAGGACACAGGTATTTGGGGAACAAGGAGCTTTGTCCTATTTAGTAGTGGCCTCAGGGACAGGGCCTGGCTCACAGTAGGTACTTAGTGTAGCACCCGACTGGTGGTGCAGACAGTGTTCAATAACTCCAAGGCACCCATGGCCAGAAAGGAAGCAAGGCTCCTTAACTGGGGACTATCAGCTGTGACAGAAGAGTCTCCAGTGGCCTAGAGAGGAGTACGTGGGGACAGTTAGGCACACAGGGTTCAGGGGGTCGGCTCTCTGAAACCTCTCCAGTCAACTAGCTGTGCTATGGCATTGCACAACATCCAAGGCCCATGAAGCCACCTGTGATGACAGCTCTATGTGTCTTGGCATGAACTCGTGGGAGATCCCTGCCAGGGAGGGTTGACTGTCAGGTTGACTCGGGGTCACAGCTGAGGATATGACCACCAAGAGAGGACCAGAGTCTGCTTGAGGTTATATAAACACAAGATTCAGGCAAAGCTAGGGCTCCCAACCGTCCCAACCAGTTGTCTTCTGGGAAGCCCTGGACAAGGGCAGAGGAGCCAGAAGTGGTCTCCGAGCAGGTGCTCCCCTCCAGTTCCACCTCAGGCAATAGTTACAGAGTGGGTACCCAGAACACAGTTCTGTTTATGCCAATGTCTACTTTATGGACGGGGAAGCCAAGGCTCCCAGGATAACTTGTCTGGATTTCAGGGCTAGGAGACGTAGGAGCTGGGACTCACTCCCTTTCAAGGATCCTAACACATTAGTCTGTCTCAGGATCCCTGACCCAGCCTGGGAGGAAACAAGGGTGGAGATGGCCACCTGGTGGTCCAAGCTGGGGAAGCACTGGCCTGGTCTAACATACGTGCTTGGCTAGGACTTCTTGGGAAGGGACTGGTGGGGTGTGGGCCAGGGTATCTTTGAGTACCACACATTGGCTCAGTTCTCCTACTTAAAATCTGCCCCAGAGCATTGCCATCTGCCCTTTCAGCCAGACATGCTACCATCCAAACAGCCCTCAACGTACAACATGCTGTCTCCTGTGCCTGATACCCCCAGCCTCTAGTAGAGCTCCCACACATGCTTAAGGCCTGACTGCTGCCTCTTCCCCTCTTGGAGTATGACCTCTGTGTTTAGACGTCCTCCTGCACCTGCTCATGGTAGAAGTTCTTGGTCTATGTGTATCCCATCATACTCCCTGTCCCAGGGTGGCTAGTCAGAGCTACCTTCCAAAATCTGTCAAGACAGCCTGGGTCTCTGGGATGCTCAAGAGGAATGTGGTTGGGACCCTCCTGGAGTAGCCAATGGCTGCTGCACAGTTGGGGTGGCTGGAGAAAGTGTGGGGGACCTTCCTGAAATAGCCAGTGGCTGGGGTGGCTGCCAAGCAGCTGCAGGAGACAGGACACTTGATGTGGTCCCAGGGCAGTAGCTCCCCACTGTGGTGGGTCTTGCAGCTCCCACAGGCCATGAGAGCAGAAGGGAGAGACCATAGTCCACAGGAACAGCAGGGTCATATACTGCCCTGGTCCTCGATAGGCCTGTTGTTGAAAGCCACTGGCCAGAGGTCAAGCATCCTTGAAGAGCCACACACAGGCCACACCACCCTCTGTCCCTTTAGCACAGAAGTTCATTCCAGGAGCAGCCAGGCAACAGAGCAGATCCTGTAGGGCCTGCTGTTCTAAGCCATGTCACCTCTAGGCCTTGACACCGCTCTCCTCCCCAGCACACTATCCGCTGCTGGCTTCCTGCTGCCTCAGCCCGCCAAGTCCTTCCTCCTCACAGCCACCAGGGGGACTTACTACAGATGGAACTTTTCCTCCTCAGAACCCCTCAGGATTCGGGACTGCTCTGAGAGAAAAGCCCAAGCTGTGTGCTAGGCCCTCTGCCAAATGGCCCCCTCCCTTTGAGTGTGAGCCAGGCCTTGTCCCTTGTTTTCTGTCGCTCCCACCACTTGGCATCATGGTTCTTGCACAACCCAGGGCATCCCACAATGGGGTTTGGCACTGCAGCTCCCCCTGCCTGAAAGCCTCCCCTGGGCACCAGGCGGAAGAGAGCCTCCCGGCTCAGAGACCCCAGCAGGTGTTTCTGGTTAACCTCCCGATGCGCGTGTTTCCTTGCTTCTGTCTCCACCGTGCAGCCCTCATTTTCGTCCTCTCCAGTCTGCTTCCCAGCTTCCAGCCAGCCTGGCGCAACTGAGAAGTCAATAACCTGCCAGAACTGGCGGCCAGGGGCCGACCCCGCAGCCCTCAATTCTATTCTGCTATACCAGACCAAAGAGCGACGGCGTTCATCTTTAATAAGCCTCACAGTTCCCCGCTCAGCAACCTTGCATGAGCTTCTGTGGCCAGGCCCTCTCCTGCGAGGTGTGAGCTCCTCCCTATAGAGTAAACACCACAGTCTGCTTTACAGGCTCAGAGAAGTTAGATAACTGGTCCTATGTCACACAGCCACAAAATGACAGTTTCAGAATTAGAAGTGCCTGGCATCAAGGTCCGTCCTCTCGACATTGCCATAGAGTGGAACCCTGTCAGGAGCACTCTCTGGGCACCAGCCCGGGGCACCAATGGACACTGTTCCTCCTCTAAGAAGCCTGCTCAGGCAAGAAGTCTGGGTGTATTGGACTGCCACTGTGGGTGCGCCCAGTCTGCTTGAGGCACTTCCCTGAGCTTTTCGGGGCTCAGAGGACTTGTTTCTGAGCCCTTTACCCAGCCAGGGGCCCTACCAGGTCTGCTCCACTCCTGCACCCCCACCCCCACCCCAGAGCTCACTTCACAGAGACGGAGAACTCGCCAGGGGAGCTCTCGCTCTCCCGGATCAGGAAGGCTCCTAAGTGGTTCCGTTTCATCAGAGTCTCTTCAGCCAGTTGCCGAGAAATCCTGCCCGAGTACCACCTGTGCAGAGAGGGGACAGTGTCAGCGCTGGGCAGGGCTGGCCCTCTGTCCCTGGCACCATTGTCTTATTTTTCCACATGGGGAAATTTAGAAGCAGAGAAGCAAATCAAGGTTACACAGCAGAGGCAAAAAACATCCAAGACAACCTGTCTCTGCCGCTTCTTACCAGGCCAGACAAACCCACACCCAAGACAAACAAGGGCCAGGCTCCAGGGCTCCACCAGCCTGTACACCCCAACCTGACAGTAGAGGAGAATTTCCTTCCCTTTTAAGATTTATTTTTATTATTTTTAAATTACAAACACACACGTAAGCATACATACATACATACATACATACATACATACATGGGAGGGTATGTGCTCGTGAATCCTGGAGAGGGTATCAGATCCCCTGGAGCTGGTTGTAAGCTGCTACCTGATGTAGGTGCTAGAAACCACACAAGAGAGCAGTAGGCACTCTTTTTTGTTTGTTTTGTTCTGTTTTGTTTTTTTGAGACATTTTCTCTGTGTTGCCCTAGGTCTGTCGAACTCATAGAGACCTATCTGCCTCTGCCTCCCTAGTGCTGGGATTAAAGGCGTGCGCCGCCACTGCCTGACCAGTATGCACTCTTAACCACTGAGCTAGCCTTGATTTTTTTTTTAACATTAAAATGTGTTTATTTCTGGTGGGCACACATGCGGGAATGTCCGTACCACATATATAGAGAGCAGAAGTCTGTTCTCTCCTTCACCATTTGAGTCCTAGAGACTGAGCTCATGTTATCGGGCTCAGCAGCAAGCACCTCTAACCATGGAGCCTTCTCACTGGCCAAGGACAAATTTTCAAAAGTTAAAAAGTGCAGACCTGTGCTGGGGTGTGGGTCAGTGGCGGCGTGCTGGCCTAGCACACCCCAAGTAAGTATGGATGACATCAGTAGTAGTGCCCTCTCTTTCCCGAGCCCCTCCCGAGTAGGAGTAGACTTGATCCAGGACTGCAGTAACAGCCTCTCCCAGTGTCCTTCCTATCTGTGGGGCCGGCCAGATCCTGCAGCAGCCTCGACAGCCTTGCCAGCCAGCCGCTCTCCTAGGCTAGTGTGCTGAGATCTAGAGGGGATTCCCTGGAGGTGAGGGGTCCTCAGGAATGGCAGACTGCCTGTCATGCCTGGCTGGGACTCCAAAACCCACACACTAGAACTGGGTCTCTGGGATGACTGCTCTTGGTTGTCAACCTAACTACATATGGAATTAACTAAACCCCCCAAAACAGGGAACACCTGTGAGGGAATTTTGCTTAATTTGAAGTAGAAAGATCTACTTCTGATCCATATGTCTGAGGTAGGAAGACATGCCTTTAATCCAGATCTTTTAAGCTGGGAAACTCTAATCTTGGCATGCCTTCTGCTAGAAGCCTAGGTAAGGACACGGGAGTAAGAAGCTTTTGCTGTCTGTCTGCCCGTGCCTTGTTAGCAAGTTCATTCCTTCCTTGGCATTAGAGCCTACTCTGGGATTCCAGCGTATACCGAAGATCAGATGAGACATCCAGCTTCGTGGACTGAGCAGCTACTGGATTCTTGGACTTTCTTCCATCCATAGCCAGCCATTGTTGGATTAACTGGACCACAGCCTGTTCTAATAAAGCATTAGTGTTCTAATAAAGCATACAAACACGCGCGCGCGCGCACACACACACACACACACACACAGAAGAAGAAGGTGGGGGGGGGAGAGAGAGAGAGAGAGAGAGAGAGAGAGAGAGAGAGAGAGAGAGAGAGAGAAGGATTCATTCTTTAAGTTCTGTCACTCTAGAGAACCCTGACTAATACAGTCTCCAAGCAGTAGAGGTGGGATCCCTGGGGTGACAGGGTCACAGGGAATGGGTCCAGTGGGCTGTGAGTTATGGAGGGAGGGGGTTACTTGCTCGAAGGACAGGGAACACTCCCCGGAGTTCTCTTTTTCTTTTACTTTTTTTTTTTTCTTTTTCGAGACAGGGTTTCTCTATGGTTTTGGAGTCTGTCCTGGAACTAGCTCTTGTAGACCAGGCTGGTCTCGAACTCACAGAGATCCGCCTGCCTCTGCCTCCCAAGTGCTGGGATTAAAGGCGTACGCCACCACCGCTCGGGCTCCCCAGAGTTCTCACACTCAGTTCTCATCACTCTGTCTTTGACTACATCGTGTTGCTTCTTCTATTGATGTGGAAACTGAAACTCAGGGAGGCCTGGGGTCTCCCGAGAGGTTCCCCGCCCCCACACACCGCCACTCCCACAGGTTTTCTCTCCCTCTCTGCAGGCTCATGAAGAGCCTCTACCGTCTAACTGCAATCCCAGCCTGCCTCTAAGTGATGTTGGACAAGCCACCCAATCTCTGTGTGCCTCTGCTGGTCTGTAAGACAATGTTAATAGCGCCCCCACAGCTGGGGAGCTGGAGGAACAGCCACCTGGAGGCTTTTCCAGCTGCCACTATGAGAACGTGGCTCATTCCCTACCTTCCACACACCCCTGGGTCTGTTTCTGTCTTCCCTGACAAACTTCTATTCTAACTTGCAGGCCCAGGGGTTTATCCTTTTCCTGAGAAGCCCCCACCCCACCGTTCCACAGTCCTCCAACTTCACTGAGAGTAGGGATAGTGCCTCCTGGTCCAGGGGCAGAGGACACCCTGGGGCTCGGGGACAGAGAGGGCTTGGCATAGGCCTTTAAGGATTACAGCCCTCTCCCCCCACCCCTACGTTTAGGGTCTTCATACCCAAGAGGGAATGTCCCCCAGAGCTGTTTTGGGCAGGGCCTAAGATTACCAAGCTGGGCCAACTACTTAGCAGGTCCCTTAGGATCTGGCTAGCACCTGATCATGATCCTGCTTGGTCTAAGCACAGGTGGCCAGAGCGGCCCTCCAGGCCACCAGGGGTTTGGGTTCCGTGACTCTGAATACCCTGTTGGCCCCTCCTTCCTCCTGTCCTCCATGACAGCCTGACCCAGGACTTCAGCCCTTGCAATCTCTCTCCTGGCCCAGGGTCAGGGCTTCTCAGCAGTTCAGACTCCACACACAGCCCTCCAACCTTTGCCTTATGCCCTCCTTGAGGCCACACAGATGACCAGAGCCTTAGCTCACGCACGGCCCAGGCCTTCACCTGGCTAGCATCTGAGGTACATGCTATGCTTTTCTCTCTTCATGCTTGTATTCTCCTTCCCCTGCCTCTGGGTGGGTGGGTGGGTGGGTGGGGGGTGTACCTGGCAGGAAGGCCTGGGACCCAGCAGGGTGGTTGGGGATGGGGACCCCAAACAGGAAGCCGGAGGTGGTAGAGAGGTAGCGGCAGGTTTGGAAACAAGCAGAAAAAAGACACAGAGGAAATACCCTTTGAGCCCCACCCTGCACCTCCATCCCTCCCACCCAGACCACAGCATAGCTCCCACCTGTTAATTGAACCACCCCACACACACACACACGTACACCGTCCCAGGACCCCATGGCTTCCCATTCCCTTGGCTCAGCACCCCAGGCTCTTCCGGCCAGTCCCTGTACTGGTTCTACGCATTGTTCTCCTTGGTTCATTCTGGCTTCCTCCCACTTTCTACCTTCTCCTGAAAATGCCTTAAGCCGTCGCCTTTGTTTATACAGCCAACTCCCATCCATCCCTCAGCGTCTCACTCACTGCCACCCCTTCTGAGAGGTACCCTGATGCTGTCTGCCTTTTGACATATTCTTCCTGTGCCCCGTGTCTCCCTCTGTCTCTGTGCCTGGTTCCCTGGAACCAGACCAATGACCCCGATGCCATTTAAGGTATATCCAGCTGGTGGTCAGGGACTATTTAGGGGCCCAGACATTCTGAGAGCAATGCTCAATGCCACCTAGGTCCCAGGCCTGAGACATCTGGGTCTGACTGTACTCCTGACCTCCCCAAGTTTCAGACCGATCAGCCAGTGTCCATCTCCTCAGGCTGTGCGGTATCGAGGACCATCCCAAACCTCTTGGCTCTGGCAGGGCGAAGTGGGGTTGATAACCTCCAGGTGGATGGTGGCAGTGGGGACTACTCACGGATGTGGCTTTACACGGATGTAGTTCTTGGGAACAAAACCCTCGGCTCCTCGGAGCTCGGCCTTGTACCAGTTCTGGTCATCTTCCATGTTCAGGATCTGTAGGCAGGAGCAACATGGACGCTTAGCCACCTGCTGAGGTCAGAGCCCTGGATGAGGCCCTGTCGCAGCCCACAGGCCAAGGCAGCCTACAGGCCGATAGATGGTCATGCACAGGAGGCCTGTGCTTCCTGGTGAGGCAGCTGAGCCCATGTAAGTTTGTGGTTATGGCACGGGGCATTGCGGCCTCTATGCTCTCCCATCCAGACCCCCATGGTGCCCCAGGGGTGGGAGTAGGTCTTCTGATTGCAGGAACCCAGAGCAGCCAATCACTGACCACTGAGATGTGACATGAAGTTGGAGGCCCCCAGATGAGTCAGTGAGCCCCAACATTGGGTCACATGAATTTCGTGTTTGGAACGACAAGAGGGCCAGAAATAGCAGAACAGACGAAAGAGCTGTGTTCTGATGAAGCTAGTTCTCAGGTTCTGGCCCAGATGCTTGGACTCTACAGACACCCTGCAAGCCTGCTGGGCCCTGTCACCCCAGTTGCACTAGGCAGAACTGGACAGAGAACCACTGCGTTAACTACTAAAGGGCAGAAAGTAGCCCTGGGGAAGGGACAGCACACTCATCCCATGGGTACACTTGCCCTGTGTCATCCCAGTTCTCAAGCAACCAGAAGAAGCTGAACATCACCAAGTGCTGTTTCACAGACAGACTCAGAGGAGTGAACTTGACCAGCGCGGCACAGCATAGTTGGCCTGGGGTTTTAAAAATGCTGGTCACCATGGGCTTTCATCCCCCTCTCTGCTCCTGCTCTGTACCTGGAGCCACTTCAGAGCTGGCTGCCCCCCTCCCCTCACCACCAGAATAACAGAAACAGGGGACACAGACACATTCCAGTATGATCCACAAGTGAAAAGCACCTGGAAGTCTGGGCTTGTGCCTCAGCTCCGAGCTGAGCCCCCTGAGAGGCCCTGGAGCCAGGCTGAGCTCTTCCTTCCTTCCTGGTCTGAACAAGGTCAGCAGCACTGGGCCGATGGAAGCAGGTAGCTGACTCGGGACCACTTTCACTCAAAATGAAACCAAGTTTCCCCAGTGGCCACAGCTTGAGACAGAAGTCCGTGTGCTCTTGAGCTCTGACTGTTCCTGCCGTCTCTAGAGTCTTGGCTTTAGCATCCTTGTCTGTTAAATGGGCACAGTTGTGGCCAACACCATACAATGTCCCGTCCTGCAGTACCTAAGCGGCCACTGTGCCTGTAACCTCTGCCATGTGCTGTCCTGCTTCTACCCACCTCTTTATAGAGACCTGAGGTGCTTCTGTGCTTACCTTGCTGAATTCTTACTGTTGATGGAGCCCCAGACCTTTGGAGCTTCGGGAACTTCCCCAGGGAATACACTTCAGGGTAGTCCCGCTTCCTAGCTCAGGCACAGCGCCTGTCTGCACCACCTCTGGCCCTACCTGCTGCTGGTCTCCCCACTGTCCCCAGACACAGTCACTGACAGCTCTTGACTGAGCACCTGCTGGGTGCCGACTGCAGGAGTCCTAGAGATGTAGCCTTAGGAGCCTGTGACCCAGGGCATTAGTGCTGTGAAGAAGCAAAGAGCCAAGGAAAGCAGCAGCCTCCTGCTGGGGAGAGAGCTGTGGGAGCCATTGTTTGGACAAGGAGCTGCCAAAGGGGTACCCAGAGTGACTCACAAAAGTCTTTCTGTAGATGCCCCAATTTACAAGAAGGAATCAGCTAGTTTGGTGGTCTGTGTTTGTCACCCCAGCATTTAGAAAGCTGAGGCAAGAGGATTGTTGAGTTCTAGCCTTGTCTGGGTGACATAGTAAGACACTGTTCATAGTTCTCCATTCTCCAACAGCAAAAAGAAAAAAGACTCAAATCGTGCCACAAGGACATGTGCTCAACTATGTTCATAGCAGCTTTGTTTATCATAGCCAGAACCTGGAATCAACCTAAATACCCCTCGACTGAAGAATGGATAAGGAAAATGTGGTACATTTACACAATGGAGTACTACACAGCAGAAAAAAAATAACATCTCGAATTTTGAAGATGGAGCTAGAAAACATCATTTTGAGTGAGGTAACCCAGACCTAGAAAGACAATTATCACATGTATTCACTCATAAGTGGTTTTTAAATATAAAGGAAAGAAAACCAGCCTACAAATCACAATTCCAGAGAACCTAGACAACAACGAGGACCCTAAGAGAGACAGACATGGATCTAATCTACATGGGAAGTAGAAAAAGACAAGACCTTCTGAGTAAATTGGGGGCATGAGAACCTTGGGAGAGGGTTGAAGGGGAGGGGAGAGGTAGGAAGGGGAGCAGAGAAAAATGTAGAGCTAAGAAAACCAACAAAATTTAAAAAAAGAAAAATAAAAAAGGAAGGAAGGAAAGAAGAGAAAGAAACCAATGGTGAAAAGATGAATAGTGTCCAAGAAGAGGGAATGGGGAATAGCCAGGCGACGGCTCTGAGATGGACCCACCTCTGTCTCCTTAAAGGAGGCTGGCGTGTCTGGCTGTGGGCTGGAGGCAGGACAGCATCATGTGCTGAAGGGCACTGCATGGGTCCATGACCAGAGGGAGGGCTCAGGGGCAGGGAGAGATGCTCAGATTCAGGGTAGGAGTCCAGAGTTGGAAGGACGCGGGGGTAGGCTGCCAGGGGGCATGAGTGCCCTCCGCTTTCCAGGGGGATATTAGCCTGGGTGTCTGAGGCAAGCTAATCATGGAGAGACTCCGTATCTGAGTGTGTGTGTGTGTGTGTGTGTGAGTGAGAGAGGGGGGGGGAGGAAGAGGTAGAGGGAGAGAGAGAGAGAGAGAGAGAGAGAGAGAGAGAGAGAGAATAGTGTCGTGCTCTTCCTCCAGCGAACAGTGGCAGGGTGCTAGCTATCTACCCTTGCAAGCACTGCCTGCCAAAGAGGGCCTTCATCCCTGGTAAGACTCACTCAGGGCCACATGTCCTGAGCTAGCCTATGGGCCAGGGGGTTTCCTCCTAGATTTTATGAGCACCTGCAGAGGAAGTTGTGTTCCACCTTCAAGCTGGCACGACTTAGCATGACATGGTGACATTCGCCAGAGCCCAACTGGGGAAGGGCTGAACGCCACCAGCACATAGTGTAGAAACCCTGGCCAGAGAGGAAGTGCCGCTGCAGTACACATGGGTGTAATCTTTTTAAATTCCAGATAGCCGGGGGAGACTACAGCGAGGCAGGGAAGCACTCTGGGATCAAATTCAAAGTGATGCCAAAAATCTTAGAATGAAGATACTGAATACTATTTCACATAACGTGTTAACGAGTTGAAATGATGAGGAAATCAAATCTAGATGTGTGGTGGGCAGCACTAACGTAGCAATCCGGTTCGTCGTAACCACGGCTAGCAGCTGGTGACTGACTGCAGCAGTGGGGGATGTACCCTCCTATCCTGCGGTTTCCTGCCAGTCTAAAACAGGTCTAAAGCAGAGCCGGGGAAAATCAATACAAAAAGGATTGCAGAACCAGCCTATGCAAGGACTCTGAAGAGGATAGTGTGTTTGCCCTGAACGCACAAAGTCCTGAGCGCCTTCCTAGCGCTGCCCTGGTGGGGTGGGGGGCTGTAGTGCATGAGCCTCTATTCCAGAACTGAGGAACTGGGGCAGGATCACTGTAGGTTTGAGGCTAGTCTGGGCTACATAGTGAATTCAAACTGCCTGGGCTTCACAGGGAGACCTTGTCTCACAAACAAGAGGGAGAGAGCTCAGCAGACAAAGGCACTTGCTGCCGAGCTCGATGACCTAGGTTCGGTCCCTGGGACCCACGCTGTGGCAGGAGAGACCTGGCTTCCCCAAGTTGTTCTCTGAGCTTCATAAGTGCACTGTGGCATCCGTGCCCTCACACAGTGTAAATACTACAGTTTTACAGAAAGGAAGAAAACAAGCAAATAAACAAAAAGAATGTGACTTTGGGCTTGGAATAGTCCTGACAGCTCTGCACCCTCAGTGATTTCCGGTGCTCTGGGGTGGGGAGGATGGGTTTCCTCCCAATCCCCACCCGGCTGGTGCTGAATTCTTACACAGAGTGGTAGGGCCCCACCTACCTTCCTGAGGGCTGGGATCACTGGCTGTGTCACCACGCCCACTCAGGATGACTCCTGTGCCTAATTGGTGGTGTAGCCACCACCAAGAGCATCAGCTGCCTGGAAGTGGCAACCCTGCCCGCCTGGCCGTTTGCTTTCTGACGATTAGCTGGAGTCTAGACCAGGACCCTAGACCAGGACCCAGAACCTGCCAGATACGGTCTGGTTATAAAGGGACTTTCTGGGCCACACAACAGATTATCTTATTTTTCATTTATTCATTTTGAGACAGGACTTGCAATGCTGTCCAGGTAAACTCCTAGGCTCAATCAATCCTCCTGCTTCAGCACCACAAATGCTGGGGCTACAGGAACATGCCACCAGGCCAAGTGCAAACATTTAAAACTTTTTATGTATTTCCCAGATGTCTATCAGTCACTTCACCCATCTGCTACCCCACAAGGAAGTACACACCTCTCCACACTCTCAAACAACCTTGGAAGTTTTGTTTGTGTGTTTGGTGTTCTTCAAAGGGAAGTTTTTAAAGTCCTAGGCATGGTGGTGAATATGTTCAGTAACCCACTCTGGAGGGAGAGGCAGAGGAAGGCAGATCTCTGTGTGTTCCAGGCCAGCCAGGGCTACATAGTGATACTGTCTCAAAATAATAGATTAATTAAAATACAACAAAGTCATGCAGAGTGGGCGGCAGACACCAGTCACACAGTGCCTGTCACTGATGCGTCTGGGGCGGCCACCTGCTCACTTTGTTTCTCTTGCAAGTTTCCGCTTGTGTCCCTTGTCTGTCTTCCCACTTGTGACAGAATAGTGTAAGTGTGTATGTGTATATATGTGTGTGTAATAGTATACATATACATCACACACACACACACACACACACACACACACTTTCTAGAGCTCTTTAAAGCTAGGTGTGGTATCAAATGCCTTTAAGCCCAGCAACGGGGAGGAAGAAGCAGTCTGATCCCTGAGTTCAAGGCCCACCTGGTCTACATAGTGAGTTCCAGAACAGCCTTGCTACATAGTGAGACCCTGTCTCACAAACAAAACAGAGCAAGAGCTCTTTTTATATTGCCGTCACTTTGGTCATGAAGTTTGTTCTTAGTCTGAGCTATGGCTGTGCCCCTTCTGTCCCTTCTGCTCACCCAGCAGACCCGGACTCCTCCCCTCCCTCTCACAGTTTTGTCAGACTCTTCAAACAGGTCAAGGTCCTGCCTCGGGGTTTTGTGAGAGCCCTGTCTGACCTGGGCTCTCTTCCCCAGGCTCTTTGCACGGCCAGTTCTTTCAGTGCCCAGGTTTCTACGCCTCTTTTGAAAAGTTGCTCTGTCTTCCCTGCTTACGGCGACTCTCCCAATCCCCAGCCGCCTGCCTTTCTGCCTGTGCCCTTACACGAAGCTTGGCTAAGTAGCCCAGTGCTTGTCAAATGAATCAAGGGGATGCAGTTCCCCAATGTCTGCCGACTACCCGTAGCCCCCTGAGCTTGACATGGGCCTCTTCTGCTTTCCTACCCACCCCCTTACTGAAAGCCGACTGTGCAAGCTGCTCCTGCCTTGGGCTTCCAGGTCCTTATTCTCATGGCTTGTGGTGGGTAGCTGGATTCCCCTCCCCCAACTCTTCACCTCCATTTCTCAGTAGACTCTTAGCAATGTGATTCCCTGCTCCTCTTGGGAATCTGTGAAGGAGGAGGCTATCAGGCTTCATAGAATTTTCTGGGGACTTCACTGGGCCCTCTGAACCTGGGTTAGAATCTTCTACACAGCATTCCTGTGGTCCAGCTACCTTCCAGCCTCAAGTGTGTGTAAGGATATATCCCGAGCTGGTCTCCAGAGAAGCCCAGGCCTCTGAAGTAAACTAGGATACACATAGAGTCTCCTGGCCCAGGACCTTCCCAGGCCAAAGTGATAAGTGTGCACAGGACCCAGGGCCAACAGCTTAGGCAGATTCAAAGTTGGTTGAGTGTGCACAGGACCCAGGGTCAACAGCTTAGGTAGACCCAGGTGCCAGCACCTTGCCTTGAAGAAGGGGATGCCACAAATGTATGTGGCTGCTTTAGACCCATAGCAACCTTTGAACCCCAGCTTAGAGCTTCAGACTCCCAAGGGACTGAACAAAGGCCCAAGAGTTAAAGCAATAAAAGTTGAGACTCCACTCTACACTCAGCTCATGCAGATACCTCCCTGCCTCGCTTCACTGCAGTCAGGCAATGGTCTTCCACACCCAGGAGCTCCTCTCTGAGCATGGATCCCACGGATGAGCTTCAGAGAAGCTATCCCTATGCTCGACTCTTGGGGCCAGACTCAGGGTGGTAGCCACCTGGCCCTGTGCCAGTTGCTCCAGTGGGTCACTGGAAAGGCAACGGAGGGCGCAGGGGAGGCTATTAGCATCCCAGTGCCTATGATCTAGCATGACCACCTCCTAGATCTTGACTGTGGCCCCTGGAATCTTCCATTGCACGCAAATGTCTAAGTAAGGGCACTCTTACTAGACGGTTCACACACCCATCTCTCTAACAACGCGGACAGCCACCTTTTCGACCCAGAGGAGCCCAGGTGAGAGCAAAGAAAGTATATTATTCTGTTTTCCCTCTCCTCACGCTACTGCTTGACACTTAAATCCTAGCTCTCTTGGCCCTACTTGGTTAGTATGTTGGCTTATTCTAGACCACCTGTCTCTCACACACACGGTCTCTGTCTCTCTTTCTCTCTCACACACACCCTCTCTCTCTCTAACTCTCTTTCTCTCAGTTGGTATTGTTTTAAAGTACAAAACTGGAGGATTGAACGAACTCCTGCCAGGCACCGTGGCAGCTGCCTCAGACTCTCACAATGACCCAAAAGGGAGGTAATCACTATTCCCATTTCCTAGACAGAGAAACTGAGGGACACAGAGGTGGCTCAGCTGAGCCTGTCCCTCACAGCTCTGACTACCAGGGTTATCCTGGACCCTGATTCCAACCCCACCACCCCTGTTAGCCCAATCAGCCCGTCTCCAGCTCGGTACCTTGAGCGTGTCCCCCTTGTTGAAGGCCAGCTCGTCACTCTCTGTGGCCTGAAAGCTGTACAGGGCCACGGACTCCATCCCACTGTCCCTGGGCTTCAGCCGAGGACCCAGCAGACACTTCCTGCTTCCCGTGGTTGAGGACCACTTCCTTTGTTTTCAGTGTTTGTTCTTTTGAAGCTGGAGCCGGAAACTGCCCTTGATGGGGGAGAAACAGGAAGCAGAGACATGTCACCCATGTCACAGCTCAGGGAGGGTGTGCTCACATACCCACGCTGACTCTGGGGAATCCCAGTGTCTCCACTTCGGATGGTACAGAGCCATCTGGTGATTGGCTCCTGTCTCACGGTAGCCACATTTCTTACTTGTCTTATGCAGGGGTTCTCTTGCTGTGACAAACACCATGACCAAGAGCAACTTGGGAGGAAAGGGTTTGTTTGACTTACAGGTTGTAGTTCATCATGGAAGCCAAGGCAGGAACCGAAGCAGACACCATGGAGGAGCATTGCTTACTGACTTCCTTCCCATGGCCTGCTCAGCTTGCTTTCTTATACAATGGGTACCCAAAACCACCTGCCCAGGGGGTGACACTACCCACGATGAACTAGACTCCCCTCACACCAATCATGAATCGAGAAAACGCTCCACAGACTTGTCTAAGGGGCTGTTTCCCCACTGAAGTTGTCTCTTCCCAGATGACCTTGGCTTGTGTCAAGTTGACAAAAAAAAAAAATCTAACTGGGATTCTACTGATACTTCTAGAGATTCCTAAGCACCTGCCGTGTGGACCCCAAGATGCAGCCCATGTTCAAGACCCTCCCAGCCATCTCCTCTCTCCCACTCCACATAGCTCCCACATGAACCCTCTTATTCCCCCCACTATATGCAAAGAACAGCTCAAGCCACTGCGGTGGACACACCGCCCTCTCCTACCTGCCACCCCTTGTCTTCTCACTGCTCCAGAAAACTCCTCACCTATCCAAACCTCACTCATGGGTCATTGGATAGCACCTGTGCTGTGTGTCAATTACAGCCTGAAAGAATACAACTAAATCTCCCTGGTGAGATCGGTAGGGCTGTGACATTGGTGCAGACAGCATTGTTGTAAGTATTGGAGGATAGAATCTAACACGGAGAAACACAGCTATGTGTTTGGAACCAGAGTTCTCCGCAGGAACCACAGTGAGCCAGAATTCCCAAACACACAAGGACAGGATGAAGAACCCAAGCTATAGAACGGGAACTGGATGGGTCCAAATGAAAACAGATTTTTTTTAATATGATGTTTTTCCAAAACATGGAGAGATGGCCCAGTAGGTAAGAGGATTGGCTGTTCTTCCAGAGGACCAGGGTTTGATTCCCAGATTTATGTAGTGGCTCATAGCCATCTGTAACTCCAGTTCCAGGTCTGTCACCGTCTTCCGGCTTCTGTGAGCACCAAGAACACAGGGGTACACAGGCATATTGTAATCAAAATACACATAAACACAAAAAAATCTTGAAAGAGGAAAGCAGATTTTAAAAAAAAATCTAGGGTTTCGGTATGTAGTACTGGCTATCTTGGAACCCTCCATGCAGATCAGGATGACCTACAACTCAAAGGTCCACTTGCCTCTGCCTCTAGAGTGCTGGGATTAAAGCTGTGCTCCATTATGCCCAGTCACAGTCTTATATTTTTAAAAAAACACTTCTAGGGAGCTGGAGAGATGGCTCAATGGTTAAGAGCACTGGGTGCTCTTCCAGAGGACCTGGGTTCAATTCCCAGCACCTATATGGTAGCTCACAGCTGTCCATAACTCCAGTTCCAGTGAATCCAACATCCTTGGCCAGAAATACATGCAAACAAAACACCAATGCACATAAAATAAAAGTAAATAAATTATTAAGAAAAACAATACTTCTAAAATTTAGGTTTTTTCGATCAGAATACAAACAGCTATGTATCATAGTAGCCTTGTTGAATAAAATACATTATCGATAATTCTCCCCCCTCCTTGGGCTCCACCCTCGCACTCTCCTTCAGTCCCCCACCCCCGCTTTCTGCTTTCATGTCACATGCGTTCTGTGCACTTACCCACCCCCGTCTTCCTCAGAACCTCTTTTCACTCTCTCTGTCTCCTTTCTAGTGTTTTACCCACATTTCCCCTTATTTGCACATGCGTATACGTTACAAACTAGGACCCACATACGAAAAGAACCTGAAGCTTTTCCTTCCAGAGCTTGGGCCATCTTGTGTAATGTACTCCTATCCAGCTCCATCCTTTTTCCTCAAGTTTTCAGTTTTCTCTGCAGCTAAACGGGTCTCCCCTGTGTATGCACCGCCGTGTCATGACTTAGGCATCAGTAGACGGACACCTAGGCTGAGGTAGGCATCAGTAGATGGACACCTAGGCTGACGTAGGCGTCAGTAGACGGACACCTAGGCTGAGGTAGGCATCAGTAGATGGACACCTAGGCTGAGGTAGGCATCAGTAGATGGACACCTAGGCTGATAATGCTTCCTAGCTACTGTGTTGGAGCAACAATGATCACAGATGTGCAAGTGTCTCTGTGGTATGCTACAGGCCTCTGGGTACATGCCCTGGAGTGTTAAGAGTTGGGTCATACAGCAGTTCTAAACTCATCTATGAAGCCTCTATACTGTTTCCCTGGTGGCCACACCAGTTCACACTCCCACGAGCAGAGAATAGGGATCCTCTTCCCCATGTCTGTGCCAACATTTGTTGTCAGGTTCCTTGATGGTGACCTTTAGGGTGAGGTAGTTAGCAAAGAAGTTTTAGTATTCATTTTCCTGATGTCTAGAGGTGTTAAACAACTTTTGTTCTTGTTGTTTTTTGTTTTTGTTTTGAGGGTCTTACTGTGTAGCTCTGGCTGTCCTGGAACTCATGATATAGACCGGGCCTCGAACTCACAGAGATCCACCCCTCTCTGCCTCCTGAGTCCTGAGATTAAAGGTGTGTGCCACTACACCCTGCTAAAATCTTTTATTAATTTTTTTTTTTTTTGCTTTTAGTTTTTTCAAGATAGGGTTTCTCTGTGTATCCCTGACTCTCTGGAACTCACTCTGTAGACCAGGCTAGCTTCAAACTTAGAGATGCGCTTGCTTCTAATTTTTAGAAAATGCTTATTGGCTATTTGTGTATCTTCTTTTGAGGAAGTCCACACTGCATTAGCACATTTGTTCATTGTTAGTTTGGTGTTTTATGGTGTTTAATTTTTGCAGTTCTTTGTGTTATAGGACAGGCTAATAAACATCTTTATGGCAAAGGATGGGAACAATGCCCCCTCCGGCAACCAGAAGCCAGCAGGACAGACCTCCTTCTAGAGTAAGGCAGTTACCCACCAGGACCTCTGCACCCTGGCAGCAGGAGTCACCCTGTTCAGCACCCATTTCTTCTTTCTTTTCTCTTTTCTTTGTTTTGTTTTTCAAGACAGGGTTTCTCTGTGTAGCCCTGGCTGTCCTGGAACTCACTCTATAGACCAGGCTGGCCTTGAACACAGTGATTTTCTTGCTTTTGCCTCTGCCTCCCAAGTGCTGGAGCAAAGGTGTACGCCGCTACCACCCTGCTACTTATCAGTTCTTGCTTACATCTAGATGTAAGCAAGAAGTTTCAGTGCTTCAGGTTTTAAATCAAGGTCTTTGGTGCAGTTTAAATTGATCTTGTGTGGGGTGGAATATATGGATCTGATTTCGTTCTTCTGAAGTGGCTGTCTCGTTTTGCCGGCACCATTGGTGGAACAGAGCTATTTGCACGTGGCTTCTGTATTCATGTCTTTGTCTGACAACATAGCTGCAGGGGATAGCTGGAAGGCCACAGATGCAGCCAGAATGAACTGGTGAGCAGTTGGAGGGAGTCTGAGCAGCCCGGCTCGTTCTTAGAGCTCATTATCTGAAGGTCTATGAAAATGTGGGAAGATGTATGCCAATTTACACCCATCACAAGCACACATAAAAGGACATATTGAAACAAACAAACAAACAAAAATAGTTGAGGGGAACAGCACGGAGTGGCGGCCTGCTCTCAAGTGACCCATCCAGGCCTCCTCAGGGTCCCTGCCTCTGCTCTCTGCCCTTGCCGCCCCTGCCACAGACTCAAGGTGGCAGGAGTTAAGCTCCTTCTTTCCTTTTTGCTTCAGTTTCAGGCAAGGCTTTCGAACCTCAGAGTGGTGTGGCTTGGGGCTGGCACATGCCCACCCCAGTCTGATATGGGGAATGCTTCTCCCTTGGAAGTCAGGTGTGGAAGGCTGGGAGCCCCAGGCTGCTGACTGCCCCTGGCTGAGTATCGGCTCTTCACAAAAGGGTGAGCACAACTCAACTCTCTGAGATGCTGTAGGACCAACCCTGTGCTTGGCAAGGCCTAGAATGGGGCAGAGGTCAGGAAGTGGCGAGAGAAGGTGGCAGCTACAGGCCCAGACTCATTCATCAGCTCTGCGTTTCCTACCGTCTGTCTTCCTTTCCCTCCCAAGTCACTCGCTCACACGGTCATCTTGGATTCCTGCAAAAACAGAACTGGTTAATGAACATCCTTATGACAACGGACTGAGACTGGGGGACTGAGACTACCCCCAGCAACCAGGAGCCCTCAGGACAAACACCCCCAATACACCCCAGCGGAGGGCAGTCACCACTATGGGTGACCATCCAATTGAGCAATAAAAGTTTCTTGAACTACTTTGCAGAACCAGACTTGAGCTGTTGATCAACCAAGGCACAGCTTGACCAGGACTGCACAGTTAAACATGGGTCTTGCTTCCTGTCTCCTTGCTTCCTGTTTAGCCCCCACATACACCTCAAGTCAGCCTCCTGGAGACAGACAAGGTCATTGGGCTCTTTATTTCCTCTTTCAAATGTGGCTATAGGGGAAAGTCTCTGATTTCACTGCTGTCCTCTGTTGTTGTATTAGGACAAGGTGGCCAAGCCCGACTTGTTGAGGCTGCCGGGACTTCAGGTTTTGCCCTGAAAATTCTGGTCATACCTCCCCGTGGTATACTGGGTTGAAACTGGCCTCCCACAGATGTGATGATCAGGGCCTGAGCATCGGTTCCTTAGAGACAAAAATTCTTAACCTATCCTTCAGAAAATGCCCCAGAATCTACTCCAGGGCCGGTTGGCACCACCTTATCGAAAACGGATACGTGCAAAAGCCAGCTAGTCTAGT